AGATTGAAAAATCATATCGCCCAACGATGTGAGGCCAGCCTTGGGATGTTTTCAGGGCGACGATGGCCTTTCTTCGGGAACGCCAACTTGGGCCCAACCGGCCTCTGCCCAGCTTCCGCCCGCTCCCGCCGCCACCGAGACCTGGGCATTGAAACAAAGACACCTGGGGGGATAATAACAACAAATTATCCCCAACGCTGTAATGCGAATATAGACAGCAAGAGGAAGGCGGGCAAAGCGGACCGCCGGGAACGTCCCCGCGACCGCCCCGGCGCTCCGCGACCGCCCTGGCGCTCTGCGTTCAGTGGCAGATTCCTGCGCGCCCTCTTGTGGCGTCAGGCCACGCCTGCCACGCCCTGCGACCCTAGCGTGGCTAGAGACTGCGCTCAGGGACCACCCCCTGCGCACCCTCCCTGGGTCGCGAAGTGCACCAGACACACCCTGCGACCTGGAAAGGATCCAGGCTGCCCCCAGGGACCACTCCATGCACACCCGCACTGGTGCTGAGAGAATGCTTGCGCCAGCTTTGCCCTACGGCAAGGCTGGGAAAAACCAATTGTTTCACTTGCACTCTGGGCGTCAACAAGATATTTTGGCATTCGTGTCCAACGTGCGTCCTCTACGTAGCGCGTGCCGCACAGGTTACCCACTGGCCGGTGGGTCATCCTAACACTGGTGGATAAAACTAAACGCTTCACTTGCATGCTGGGCATCAGCATGAGTTGGTGCATTCGTACTCCCCACCACGCTCCCCCCTGTGGAGCCCGCGCCGCACACGTGACCCACCAGCGGGTGGGTCACCCGATGAGATGGTGGCTACTCGGTGTCTCTCACTAGTTCTAGGTCCCCGAACCACAGGTACCCCCCGGACTACAAATACCCTCTCCCCAGACAACAGGTACCCCTCCCCCAGACTACAGGTACCCCTCCCCGGACTACAGGCCCCCCACCTCGGGACTACAGGTACCCACAGACTACAGGTACCCCTCCCGAAGCTACAGGTGCCCCCCGAGGGTACAGGAACCCCTTAGAAACCCGAGCGTGCGAATGTGTGTGTGTGCGTGTGTGCGTGTGTGTGTGTGTGTGTTTGTGTGGGTGGGTGGTTGGGGGGGTGTGTGTGCCTCTCCGCAAGCGCAGTCACTCTGCCTAGCCGCCGACGCAAAAAATGTGTGTATGTGCGCAACGATGCACGTGCAGTCATGCGCGCGTGAACATCAACGCGCGCGGAATCCCGCGTGCGTGGAACCACGCGTGCTTTGACGCGTGAACACGCACGCGCACCCCCCTGAGCTACAGGTACCCCCACACGCGCCCCCCCTCAGACTACAGGTACCCCCCCGGGCTAGAGGTACCCCTCGTACCCTCCCCGGCCTACAGGTACCCCCCCATGGGTGGGTAACCTTGAACCTGGATGCACAACCCGATTGTTTTACCTGCACTCGGGGCCTCCAGAATTAGTTGGTGCATTCGTGATCCACACGCTTCCCCTGTGCACCGCGCGCCGCATACGTGACCCACGGTCGGGTGGATCACCCGCGAATGGCTGAGAAAACCCCATCGCTTCTTTTGCGTCCTGGGCCTCAACATTAGCTGGCGCATTGGTATTCCACACGTTTCCTTGTGTAGCACCCACCGCACAGGTGAGCCGCCAGCGGGCGGGTAACACCAAAACTGGTTGAGAAAAAAAGAAGCACCGTTTCACTTGCATTCTGAGCTTCAACATGAGTTGGCGCGTTCCTACTCCATACGCTTCCACGGTGCAGCGCGCGCCGCAAAGGTGACCCACCTGCCACTGGGTCCCCTGAAAACTGGTTGAACAAAATCCACTTGCTTCACTCGCGCATGGAAACATGCGCGCAGGCGCGGAAGCCAAGCGCTTGACGCGTGATCCAGCATGGCAAACTGCGCGGGAGCGAGGCGTGCGCGGCAGCGCTGGGCCCGTGTGGCATCGAACACTCCCGAGCGCGAGGACGGGACGCCCCCGCGCGCACGCTCGCGCACGCAAATACAATGTCCCAGTGGGACGAACACCCGTACACCTCGAGCGAGGCCGCTTCTGCATCGGGGCATGCGTAACATCGGTACGTGCTTACACCCACAGGCGAGTGCATATGTATGCGTAAGCATTCACAGGCGTCCCTGTATACGCACATATGCAAACATGCACACACACACTCAGTCTGAAGACGGCCCAAGAGGCCCCCAAGACACCCCAAGAGGCCGTTCAGAGAGCCCCGAAGAAGCCAAAATTGTCACATTCCCTCAGGAAATACACTTGTTGTGCATATCCGCTTTTGGGGTCTTCGCAGCGTGCAAGACGGCCCAATGGGCCCCCAATCTCGCCCCAAGACAGCCCGAGAGGCCCCCTAGAGGGTTTGAAGGCGGCCCAAGGGGGCCCCAAGACTGCCCCAGAGAGCACCGAGACTGCCCACAAGAAACCCAAGCTGCCCCCAGAAGGCTCCCAAGAGAGACCCACGAAAGCCATGGGATACCTCCAAGGGCGCCAATGGAGGCCCGCAAGAGGGCCCTAGATGGCTTCAGAAGACCTCTGGAGGGCCCCAGCTCCACACGGCGGCCCAAGAAGCCCCCAGGACGGCCCAAGAGTGTCCCAGGACGGCACAAAATAGCACCAAAAACGACCAGACGGCGTTCTCCTACGAAATACACCAAGCTGACACGACGATCTTGGTTCCACGCTTGAGGCTCGAGGTTTCAGCAGCTCCCCGATCGAGAGAGACAGGCAATGGATCTAGATTCGAAATTCGACGATCGAAGATTTCCTGAGTGCCTGGAGCCCTCCAGGCATTCGGGAAGCAATCAAAAATCTATGTGTTCGGAGCTACTGTGACTTCTTCGTCGTGTCATGGGAACGCTCCTGACTTCCTCAAAGGACCTTTGCGCGCGAAACAATCAGCATGATTTCCCCATTCCTGCGCACAAGCGTGCCAGCGCATCGTCCGAAAGCGGTGTCAGCAGGCACCTGGGATATTGGAAAAATGGGCGGGTCGCCAGTCCAGGCCTCGAGGTCCTCCCTGCTGAAGAAAGCGATGATTTGTTGCTTCGCCAGGGAAGCGTCCGGAACAAGGCGCATGGCGCGAAGCGACAATGCAGTCTTGTGTGTATATATATATAAATACATACATGCATCCGTGTATGTGTGCATGCCTGTCTGTGTATGCATGTGTATGTGTATGCATGCATGTACGTATGTATATGTGTGTGCATGTATGTGTGTATGCATGTGCGTATGTATGTATGATTGTATGTTTGTATGGATGTACGTGTGTGTATGTATGTGTGTGAAGGCATGTATGTATGGATGCATGTCCGCATGCAAGCATGCATGTATGTACCTACGTACATATGAATGTAAGTATGTATGCATGTTGTATGCATGCATGTATGACGTATGGTTGTACGGACGTGCATGTATGTATGTAGTACATGCATGTGTGAATGTGTGTATCAATATATGCGTCAATGTGTGTATGTGTGTATGCAGGTATGTATGTGCATGTGTATTGTTGGCTGCATGCTTGTATGTATGTGTATGTGTATGTATGTATGCGTGTAGTTGCTGTGTGAGTATGGATTGATACATGCATGTTTGTGTGTATGTGTGTACGAGTGGATGTGTGTGCATGTGTGTCTGAGCAGGTCAATGTGTATGCGTATGTGTATGTGTATGTGTGCACGTGTGCACGTGTGTATGTGTATGTGCATATGTGTATATGTGTATGTGCTTGTATGTGTATGCGGATATGTGCGTCTGCTCTTATGTACGTACGTACGTACGTACGTACGTAAGTACTTACGAACATACGTTCGTACATAGCTATGTAGGTAGGTACGTAGGTAGGTAGGTCTATTTTTTTTGTTCTCTGTCGCTCGCACGTCGCTGTGATGCGTGTCGCTGCCCTGGCCACGGCGCTGCTTAAACTGGCTCGAGTGAGACCTCGCTGTATCTGGCTCAAGTGGTGTCAGTCGCTGCTGGACTGCGGCCAACACATCTGCCAACGCCCGACTGGCGCAACTGTGCCGCGCTTACCGCACCGGCTGGAAGCGGGCGCGGGCACCCCTCACGCCGCGGTCGCGGCTGTCCCTGCGGTCGCCGAGGAGCTCCAGGAGGTAGAGGAACAGTTGGACGATGTCGATGTAGAGCATGATGGCCGCCGCGGCGTAGTCATCAACCGAGAACTTGTGGTTTGGGTGCTTGTTCCCAAGGATCATCTGGGTGTCGTACACGATGTAGGCTGCAAAGAGCAAGGCGCCAAGCCCACACATGCAGAGACGGGCGGTCTGGAAGGCCGCGCCCGAAAGACCGAAGATGGAGCCGAACATCAGACCGAAACTCATGCCGAGCATGACGAGTGATCCGCACATCAGGTACGACGCGAAACCAGTAAAATCGTACTTCGTCTGGAACGTGAACGCGGTCAGGCCCGCCAGGATGAAGCACGTCAGGCCGAGGACGACCAGCACCGACTCCTCGCTGTACTGGCTGCAGATGAAGCCAACCATGACGCTCTTGGCGAGGGTGAACATCCCCAGCAGGATATAATTCGTGGGAGAACGGCGCATCACCTGAGGACAGCACCAGAACACCATCATGGTCGCAACCGAGCCCAGCAAAGACAGAAACATCAGGACGGTGCCAATCTCCGGGTCCATGGACTCGCTCTTCTTCATGACAGCCCCGCCCAGGACGGTGGTGACCAGCAGCTGAGTGCCTAATATCCCGTACACCTTCCGGACGAAGCCGTGCCGCACGGACCTCTCGCTGAAGGCCATGGCGTCCCGCGGGGCGCTCGCCATTGCTGGGGGTACCACGAGGTACCGGTATCGCGGGCCGCGCGGGGTCAGTCCTAGGCCAGGGCGCCTTGAGCCAAAATGGCTTGAGCCAAAATGGCTACGGAACGTAGGTAGGTAGGTCTAGATCAACCACCGTGCCTCTAGCACGAAGCGAAGTGCCCCGAGGCTTATGCATCACTAAGAGGGCCGTGCTGCTGCTGCTGCTGCCAGGATTGTAAGCCTTTACGGGCCCGGACCAATCGTTTCCCGGGCCAGCATGGGGTCCGCTGAGCCGGGCTGGCCCGGGATCCGCCGAAATCGCTCGCGTCGGCCGACCCCTTCCAGGAGGGCCCCAGCACGAGCCCAGATGGCTCCAAGAGGCCCCCAAAATAGTCAAAGAGGGCCCCAAGTCGCTCCAAGATTGCTCCAGGACGCGAACGATGGCCTCCAGACGGCCAAACGAGACCCCAACATGGCCCCAAGAAGTGCCAAGAAGCCTCCAAGACGGCCACAGAGGTTTCGAAAAGGCATCCTAAGAGGGCCCCAAAAGGCAACAGTCATTGATTTCCCGATGATAACTGACAGATTTGGGAGTTCTCGCCTTTTCGACTATCCGACGCTCCAAAACGCCCCAAGCGGCCCCCAAGACCATCCCACAACGGCCCAAAAGACCTCTAAGAGGTCCCCAAGGCGGCCTAAGAGAGCCCCAAGACGGCCCAATAGGCGCCCAAGACGGCCCCAGAGCGCCCCAAGACGGCCCCAAAAGGGGCCCGAGAGTGGGAACACGAATCGAAAATCCGAGCCCTCCGCCCCAAGAGGCCCACAGGAGGCCTCAAAGGCACCCAAGAGACCTCACAAGGCCCGCAAGAGATCCCCAAGAGGCCCCAATAGGCTCCCAAGGGGCCCAAACGACGCCCCAAGAGGCCGAGCTGCCTCCCGCGAGATCCCACCGAACATCCAAGAAGCTGCGTGCCTCGTCCAGCACATGTTTTCCAGGGGGACCGTTGGACAAATAGCTTTTCGTCGGCGGGATCATGACACGCGGGGTCTGGGGAGGGGGCGCCCCAGGGGGAGGAGACATCAGGTCTTGAAAAAAGATTCTGGGCGCGAGCCAAACAGCATGGGCGTCCTTCGCCTCCGAGGAGTTGCAGGAAACTCACCGCCACTGAGATGCCTTCGAGGCGGAGGCAGGTGGTGGCACGCCCGAGCGTCGTCTGGCAATGGGTGACGCTCGGGCGTGCCCAGGGGTCGCCCTCCCCCCCCTCGCAAGGGGTTCTCGGTGGCGCGGTCCTCGTCTCTCCTCTGAAGGCCTCCGGCGCCCCGAACCCGACCGCGACTTCCCAGCCAGTCCTCCCGCGCTGTCGGCCCTTCAGGAAGCCCTGCTCCAAGCCTGGGGCGTTACGTGCTGCTGCTGGGTGCAGCTGCGTGCTGTTGGAATTGCTTGCCGATGCTGCTTGCTGTTGCTGCTTATGGCCGTAGGGTGCTGATGGATGCTGTGCTGCTGGTTGCAAGTTCTGGTTACTGCGTGCTGCTGCAAGGTGCTGCTGCCTGCTGCATGCTGCAGCTGCTTTCTGTACGTTTTCTTACTCGGCGTTTCGACATTGGGCGAAAGGGGGGAGGCAAGGGGGTCTGGCTGCAGAAATTTGCTTAGCGCAACTGTTTGAAACAATGCGTCTGCATAGTCACAGTCCCATGGGGAAATATTATGGGAGAATCCTATAGGAGAATATCGTGCGGAAATCCCATTACGAATCCCGAGGGGGAAACCCATGGGGAGACTTCTGTGGGGATCCAACGGGGGAATCCAGATCCAATTATAGAATCCATTTGGAATTCGCTTGGAATCTTCACGAATGGCATTTCAGAAGATCCCACAACTGGCCACCCCTGGGTGCATGCTTTTTCTACCATGCATCCAGCGCCCTGGAGCCCCATTTCTTATTTTCCCGAGGGCCGCCCCGAAAACACAATGCGGAGTTGCGAAACCGCGATTCGCGTCTCCACCATGGGTGGGGGGGCGGGCCCCCCGTGCTTACCCCACCTGCTTGAAACAGGCGCCAAAAGTTATCAGGATCTACTCCATGGGGGAGGGGGGGCAAGGGCGCGCGCCGATCGGCAAAACAATGTGTAAGAAAACGATGCCCTGTTACTGCTTGCTCTGTGTTGCCTGCTCTTGCTATTCGCGGTCGCCGTTTGATGCTACGAGGTGCTGCGTCTGGCTACTTCTGATTGCCGACGCAGCCTGCTGCTGCTCGTGACAGGATCGAGGAACACGGAGCGAGGAGCCAGGATCAAGGAGCGAGAGGGGAGGAGCGACGGGCGAGAAGAGAGGCGCAAGGGAGGAACAAAAGCCGAAGGGAGGGGATGACGATTCGAGTTGCACGTCGCGAAGAGGGACGAGCCAAAGAACGAGGGAGGGAAGCGAGGATGAGCGAGAAGAGTTGCGCAAAAGAAGCGACTCGTGTTCTGCTCATTGCGTTTCCCTCTTCGTTTCAGACGCGGAGCATAGTTGACCCGATACGCAAGACGCAACACGTAGCGTATTGATACGGAGCTCAACACGTAGGTTGGAAACGTAGGTCCGACGCGATACGTTCGCCAAAACGTGGTCCGATACGTGGAGCCAGCACGCAACGTAGTGACACGGACGCCTTGAACACGGGACGCGTTGCGCTTCAAAACGGGCGTACCGAGGCAACTGAGACGCGGAGGGAGGAGCAACGAACAGGGAGCGATGAGGAGACGAGCGTGGAGTGAGAAGCCACCTGGCGAGGGCAAGGAGCGCGGAACGGGGAGCACAGGGAGCGAGGAGGGAGGCCCGAGGAACGGCCGGCACACGAGTGCCCCGCGGTGGCCTCGACGAGCGCGTGGCCGCACACCTGCCGCCTCAGGGCTTGGGGCCAGGTCGGGCAGGTCCCCCTACAGGCGGATTGTGGACGACAAATACACAATACCCCAGAAATTGTCAAACGTAGTTGAAAAATCTTCCCCCGACCGTTTTTCGGCTTCAATAGATAAATAAATAGATAAATATACGAATAAGAATAATACTAACAATAATCATACTAATAATAATTCTAAACATAAAATAATCAGACTTCTAATAATATGAATACTATAACTAATAAAACGAATAATACTGATAATAAAGCGAATACTTATAATGGCATCAACTATGTTTTGGAATCATTTTGGAATATTCCTCCTGCAGAGGGACAGGTCCAACTTAAGCTTAGGGCCTTCTTTGAGATTTCGTGGGTTCCCCTGGGGGGGGGGGGCTTGAAGAGCGGTCACCACGCGTAGCTCCTACTGGCCTCGACACGCGCATGGGTCGCTCATGGGGCACTCACGGGGCGCTCATGGGGCCCTCTTGGGTCTCTTGTGGGGCCCTCTTGGGTCGCTCATGGGGCCCTCTTGGGGTCCGCTCGTGGGCCGCTCACGGGGCGCTCGTGGGTCCCTCGCGCACTCGGCTCCCCTTGGGTCGCTCGTGGGCTCCCTGGGGGGTCCGTTCTTGGAGCACTGCCTGACGCGTGCGGGGCTCCGGAGGGGCCTCTCCAGAGTCTCCCGGGGACCACCTGGGCGTCCCCTGGGGCTCGGGGAGTCTCTTTTTCGGGGGGGGGTCCGGGGGTCTGGGCGGTCGGGAGGCTTCCAGCTGGCGCCGACGACGACGACGACGACGACGACGTCGTCTGGGCAGTGGGTCCATTTGGGGGCGGTCTTTGTGCCGTCTTGGGGGCATCCTATGAAGCCATCTTGGAGGAGGGCCGCGCCCGTCGTGGGCTATCTCGGGCCAAGCAGATCCCACATGGGGGGTGAGCCTCTTGTGCTCTCCTGGGAGCATCTGGGGCCCTTCTTGGAACCGTGTGTGGCCGAAAAAAGGTGGCGAGTACGTGTATACATCGATTCATATGTATATATATATATATGTGTATGTATATATGAATGTGTGTGTGCATCGGTGTGTCTATCAGTCTGGATATATGTATATATGTATGCATACAATTATATACATATGTCTACCGGTCGACAAGTATATATACACACCTATCTATATATGTACATGTCTGTAGTGTGTTTTAGATGTACACATATGTGTGTACACACACACATATATATATGTACATGAATATATATATATATCGATGTGTCTATCAGTATGGATAAATGTGTATATGTATGCATACATATATACAGATGTATTCCGATCGATAATTATATATACAATGTTTAAATCTACATGTCTGTAGTGTGTATTTATGTACATATATGTGTGCACATATATATATATATATGTACATGAATATATACTATAATAGATGTATAGATATATGTTTGTATGCCTACATCGTCTCAACATGCATATACGGAAAACCACATCTTCGTATGACATGTGGGAGTCCCTGCGCGCAGCCATATTGGATGACATCGGGACCACATTTGCGCAATCTTGGGCGTCTTGGCGCCTCGGGGGCGGTCTCGAGGGCCCGTTCGGCGGTCGTGGGCGCTTTCTGGGTGCCTTCTTGGACCGCATCACGCAAGGGGCTTCACCAAGCGGTCCTGCGGCGCCCCGGGGGCACCTGTGGGTGCATGCGTCAAGGCCCGCCAGTGCGCCAGGCATGGCAGTATAGATGACCTCTGCCTCTACATTAGTCTCAACCAGCTCACTGAGACGCAACAGTGCCTACTGCCACTGTCCGCCTTTCCCACATGCGGTGGTATGTGCGATGAAATTGCCTTGGCTGGCATCCACATGTTGAGAAGCTTCGCCGAATAATTGCAGCGCTGCGCTCCACTGAATTGTGTTCCGACGCTTGTTCGCGGCAGCTTCGACGGGAGAAACGTCTGGTTGAACTCCATGCCCGATGTGAAGCATCCAATGCGGTCGGCAACTTTTGCCTAGTGTGTCGCGGCCGCGGCTCAGGCGACACACCATGCCCTGCAAACAGATATCGTGTCGCTCCGCTACGCAGGGCGGGATGCTCGGAAAGGCTCGCGGCGCGGACACTTTTGGGCCAGGAAGTGGGCAAGTGTGTCGTGCCGAAGCGTTATGGGCCAAAACCAGCGGAGCGAGACGCTGTCCAAGAGTTCCCGAGCGTATGTCTGGCCGCTGAGACCGCGTGAGCACTGGCATGACTGCAAGTGCTGCAGCAGAGGAACAACACTTCAGGCACAGGCATCGGCATGCCACCAGGTTTGCCTCCTCCTCCTT